ATATTTTTTTCTCTAATAAGCACCCTTACATATATAAATATAGAGGTTACAGAATATGAGAAAAATCCTTATGTAATGGTAAGTTTTATAGCAACACATTTTAAGTACATAAAAATATACATAGCAAAAAAGGATAGAAAACAAAAGTATACTCATTTATAATTGGAGAAAAGTAAAATTAGCTTTTAAATAATAAAAATAAGTATTATTCTATTATTTACTTGGTGGGACGTGGTATAGCAGAAGGCTATTAAAAGAAAAGGCATAGGCCTATAATCCTAGCAACTAGGGAAGTTGAGACAGTAAGATCACAATGTAGAGGCCAGCCTGGGCAACTTGGCAAGACTCTCAGCCACTTAATGAGACCCTTTCTCAAAATAAAAAATAAAAATGGCTGGAAATGTAGCTCATTGGTAATGTGCTAAAGTGCCCCTGGATTTAATCTCTACCCACCCCCCACCACACACACACAAAAGAAAAAAAAACAGGAAAAAAAAATTCATGATACATCAATTATATCTCAACAAAACTATTATAAAAATACTAGTAACAATAGGTTTAGTTTATAAATGTGTCAACCTAGTTGATAAAAAATAACATTAGATTGTAGATACTTTGTGGTAAAAGACTACAGATTATTTCCAATAAAGAATTAGCCAAGTATAAACTTTCTTTTCTTCCTATCTTAGTGATATTAAAGGAGAAACAAACAACATAAATAATTTCAACTTTGAAATTAATAAAAATTAAAGAAGAACAAGAGTGAAACTTCACCAAGACAGCCAGGCATGGTGATGTATGCCTGTAATCCCACCCAGCAGCTCAAGAGGCTGAGGCAGGAGGATTGAGAGTTCAAAGTCAGCCTCAGCAAAAGCAAGGTGTTAAGCAACTCAGTGAGACCCCTTTTCTAAATAAAATACAAAGTTGGGCTGGGGATGTGGCTCATTGTTCCAGTGCCCCTGAGTTCAATCCCCAGTGCCAAACCCCTCCCCCTGCCAAAAAAAAAAAAAAAAAAAAACAAGACAATAGAACCTAATGGGCTAAAATGTCTTTATTTTGGAGAGGAAAAAGGACAGATTAAAAGTAAAGATTACAGGTAAAATTTAGAATCAACAAAGTATGCCAGGCATGGTGGTGCACATCTATAACCCCAGCTGCTTGGGAAGCCAAGGGTAGGGAGGATTGCAAGTTCAAGGCCAGCTTCTGCAATTCAGTGAGACTCGATCTCCAAATCAAAAATAAAAAAGGCAGGGATCTAATTCAGTGGGAGAGCATCCCTGGGTTCCATCCCTAGTACCTTCCCCTCCAAAAGAAAGTAACCACAGATGCTCCTGAATGATGCTCACACAAATTATGCAAATTTGACCTTATGTAAAGTGCTGCACCTAGAACATGTAATCAGATTTGGCAGTGTGGAATGCAAAGGAACCTAGGACAAAGCGGGTTCATGAATGCCAAGAAGCAAAAGCATGGTGTCCTTCGGCTATCAGAAGGGTAGTTGCTGATGCAGGTCCTCATTCCCAGTGCGCTGTTTCAGGGTTATGTCACCTGCTCACTCTCACTCTCCTGTACTGAGTCTGATGATGACTGGGAAGGAACCAAGCCATAGCCAAAATGTGGACACTGAATGAAAGACAGCATGTGAAGCGTCACAGAAATCCAGCCAAGTCCTGTCCTTCAGTGCACTGGACTTGACTTCCATAAAACGTTCTGAATGAACTCCCTGGTGAAAAAGAGCTCCTGAAAGGTCCTGTCAAACTGAAGTCCACAAAGACAAAACCAAGACTGGTCCAAATCCTATTTTGAAATGGAAAAGTCAGTAATACTGTAAAAAAGAGAAGAAAGCTAAAAAATGTGTGCCACTTCACACACTTCAATTAATGATTCAAGAAAAGCTAGAAAATCTGTTTGAAGATAGATTTAAAGTGTGTTTAGCCCAGGGCATCCCAACAGTTTTAAAACTCATGCCAATGTTCAGTAGAGGAAAGCGAGGGGAGAGCCTGCTGGTTCAATAATAAAAGCAGTGGTAATAGATCTCAAAGAAATGTGAAAATATTATAGAAAAAATGTGGCTATGTAATAATAAATCTTCAATCTTAATGAACTGGGTTTTTAAAGAAAAAAACTTTAAAACCAGACAGGGTACTTATTTCAAAAGAAAAAAAAAAGTGTCAGAGTTTAAAATTGCAAAATGTGAACAGCATTTTGCCTGGAGGTAACATGGCAGATTGTATATTGAAATCTTGGGCCATTTATCACTCAGAAAGACCATGGGTATTCAATATATTTCTAGCTCATATAAAATCCTGATTGTACAAAGCCATGTGAAAGAGTTATGTGTCGGGGGTTGTTGCTATTTCACAAGTTTCAATTTCACTAGAGTCTCCTTAGAGTCAATACATTGATATTTAGAGGAATTAATCAAATAACACAAGTCCACTGGTCATGTTTTCAGATTCTGACATTGCCTTCATTGTAGCTAATATTCTTGTTAACATTCTGTGGGACAAAAACCACATTCAAACCTGTTAGGATAATGCTACATATTTTGTGGTCCTTCAGTAACATCAGTGAAAGCTACTTGATCCTGGGGTGGTTAGCAACAGGTATTTCTGGGGCTCAGGTAACTAAAGATAAAGTGGAATGTGTTATTAGTGATGAACTAGAGCCAGCTGCCCACACCTCTTTCCAACTCTGAATTCAGAGGCAGTACATGGGTAGCTTAAAATCAGCCTTGGGAGGGGATTTACACCATTGAAATTGGCAAAAGCTAAAAATCAGGGACTTTCCCCCTTCTTTATTTCAGAGAATTGGTTCTTAAACATTTATGACCACCTTACTGATTTGGGGTTAATGCTCCTAGCTAGTAAAATTGTCCCATATCACTCTCCTAAGCTCTCTCTCCAGGAATATCCCATCAGTACCACAAACACAGCAAAATGAATCCTCCTTCCAAACCTCTTTCAGTGAAAAACATCACATTTACTGGCTACAAACACAAACTTGAAAACCAACTTCTATAACTTCAGCTCCTTCACCAGGTTCCATCTCATCTTTAACTCTTAAAATCTCCCCCTCTCCAACCCTCTTGATTGTGGTCCTGTTGGCCCCCTTACCCATCCTCCTCACTGTTGCTGGGATGAGCATTTTAAAACACATGAAGGTTGATGCATGCCTATAATCCCAGAGGCTTGGGAGGCTGAGGCAGGAGGATCACAAGTTCAAAGCCAGCTTCAGCAATTTAGTGAGCCCCTGAGCAACTAAGTAAAGCCCTGTCTCAAAAAAAAAAAAAAAAAAAAAAAAAATTAAAATGCTGCGGATGTGGCTCAATGATTGGGGATAAGGCCACTCTAATTTGCAAAGTAGGACTAGTACATTCAGGTTGAAATGGTTGTTGAAAAGAGCAAATGAAGCAGTGAATGCCAAGTACCTGCAGCATTATGCAAGGCAAAAAATACAGGTTCCCTTGTGCTGAACAGAGCCCCAGGTGAAGGAAACCTGTTCCTCCACCATAATTTTATATATCATTCAGTAACCTGCACTTTACAAAGTTCAGCCATCCTCTAAATGGAGAGTTGAGGGAAATAGATCTGGAGCCAGCACCAGGCCTCCTCTCGCTGAGGGTTCTGGAACCCAGTAAAGTCAGTCTAAGACCCAAGACTCCTTCTCCCATATCACAGGCCTCTTTGGCGTCAAGGCCACAGCCCAGGACCCCAGACAAAAGGTGACTTCATCATCCACAAGTACTGCAATTATGCAAATCTAAGATAAGGAATGAAGTGTGTATAAATTTATACTGCTTTCACTTGACAAAGGTCAAATGAAAGAGTATTAATAACCAGCCTTCCCTTCAGGGGCGAAAAATACATTTTCTGGCTACCAATGAAGAAACGATGCATCCATCCAAGGTATTTATCGATTTCTGGAACAAAGATAAAGGAAGCCAAAAACCACCTTCCAGATTTTTCTAGAGGTAAGGAGTAAGTAGCTCCACTACTTAGAATCTACTGGCAGAGATTGCTCCTTGTCCACCCACACCCACTTTCTTTTTCTTCCTTAATTACACAACACTAACTTTATTCAGAGTATCCCAGATAAAAGACAAATTTCCCAGCCTCCTCTGAAAATAGTTAGGACCCTACAACTAAATCCTGTTTAAGCAGTCACTTTTCAAGGAAAAGTCCTTTAAAGGAGCGTCACCATTTGCCTTTTTTTTTTTTTTTCCTCTTTACTCTCCTTTCCAGAACCTGGAATTGGAATGTAATGACTGCAGTTCCAGCAGCAATCTTGTCATTTTGAGGATGAAAACCTTGCACTAAAGACAAGAAAACTGAAAGAGAGAAAGAGTCTCAGTACAGGGTAATTTTATAAGGAAGCCACCAAATGGCCCTGAACTATCTACCTGTGGCTTTCCCCAGCGGCAGGGGGCTGAATTGAGGACTTCATGCATGCTAGCCAAATGCTGTACCACTAAGCCTGAGCTACACCCCCAGTCTCCCATCTTTTTTTTTTTTTTGAGACAGGGTCTTGTTAAGTTGTCCAGGCTAGCCTCAAACTTGGAATCATCCTACCTCAGCCTCTCAAGCAGCTGGGATTACAAGTGTGTGCCATGATGCCAGGTTTACCTCTGGCATTTTGATGTGAGAGAATAAACTTTTATAAGATAAATACAGAATAGTTAGGCCCACCAGCAGCCAAACACAATCCCTAGCTAATATCCTGGCCTCCCAGGCAGAAGCCAGAAAAGCTGTGCATTTTCTGAGATACTCAGGAAACATGGTGACTCCAGAAAAGGAAGCACTTGGTGCAAATTGTACCCTCCTACCAGATTTTTAAGAATAATTCCAAAGCATGTCAGTGGAAGGTGATGATCTGTGGTACTTAGCAGAGTCTGGCAAAAAGAATAAGCCTTTAAAGTAGAAGGAGTCAGAGTGACCATCCAGAGACCCTGCATGGCTTTCTCCAATCCACCTGACCATGAGAGGGGCCCCTTTTTGTACCTCCTCCAGATTGCAGAATTCCTGACGCAGGGATATCTTCAGATCAGCACATTCTCTCCCACATCTCAACGCTACCAGACACTCCTTAGTCAACTGTGGAACCTATTCAAAGGACACAGGTTCTTAGTGGAGCAGTCTGTGGGAACCATGTTCCTGACCTGCCTAAAACTGCAGCAGAGCTTTACAAAACAGAACAGACCAATACCCACACACCACGATCAGAGTACCCAGCTCCCTTCGAGGGGCACGAGGTTATGCAGGAACCCACTTCTTAAAGTACTCAGGAAAATAAGGTGCTTTAACAGGGGTTCAGCACTCCTTACTTGATTGGCTATTTCTATGCTGTACACTGAGGCTTAGTGAAGATGCTTAACCTCTCTAAGCCTCAGTGTTCTCATCTGAAAAATAGATATGATAAAAGTACCCATCTCAAAGAGCAGATGTGGAATGAAATAAGTTGGCCTCTGAAGTAGTTAGGGCAGTGCATGGACATCAATTTATGTGTACTATTAACGCCATTGGTTATCGTTTTCTTTCCAAAGAGAATTACCTTAAAATGTCTCCAACACCTCTTCTTTCATTATCAATAGCTGCCCTCTTTTCTCCCTTCTTCTTATTTCCTGGATAGCGGTATCCTTGCCCCATTTAAAGGGCAATTCCCTTTCATGCATAATCTTCTCACTCTATGATGTTTAGAAAATACTCTCTTTAAAGGATCACCAGTTTTCCGTCAGTATCCCTACTTCAATTCACATGGTCATTACCATGTGGCAGTCAGACCTGCCAAGACTGCCAGTTGAAATGGAAACGCACCTAGGAGTTAATAAGTCTTCAATCTTTACTATCAGTGGTCAGACCCTACTCTAATTCCATGGCAATTATTCCCCTGAGCCTCAAATGGTATTAAAATAAAACCATTTCACCAATGATTTGACTTTACAATGGGTTGAAATTTGGCAAAGACACGCAAAGTAAAATAGACAGTTAAGTGGCTCTTTAAAATTAAATATACCTTACAGAATAGCTCCAATAACATCTTCTGGCGTGCTCGTTCATAAGGATCATATGGGAAGAGCCTCCGTCCTGGGTAAGCATCATCCAGGTATTCACATGTGATGACAGACTCATAGATCAGTTGACATTGGCTGGTCTCCAGGACAGGAACTTGGCCAAAAGGGTGTTTTGTAAAGTACCAATCAGGCTTGTTTCTCAGGTTAATGTTGATAACTTCATGTCTTAAAAAGCAACGACAAAAGAAGACAGAATAAAAATGTGTATGTAGGCAGATGCCCATCTTGAAATAAACAATTATAAAATTAAAATTTGTGATTATAGCAGTTTTTTTAAAAAAGTTCAAGTTTTGTATAAACTATATTACATCACTGTCTTCATTCCTTTAGTAAAAGGTGTTAGATGTTTTCTATGCCTGATCCCATTTGTTCCTCGGGATTCCCCACTTCCTAGGAAATAAAACTGGAGGTTGAATCTGGTGCCCAATGCCTTGTGCTAAGACAAGCAGAGTCAAGATCAGAGCCAAGCAGACTGACTCAGCGTTTGTACACTGAACCATGGCATTAGAGAGTTTAGGACATTTTAAAGCTTAAAAATACAAATCTGGTGTTAATATGTCATGATATGTTGTGGAAAATGTTAACAATGAAGAGTACAAGTTCAGGCACCAAACTGGACAGAATAGCCCAAGACCTTGGCCACACTCCCTCACCTTCTGTGCTCTGTGTCCTTAATTATAAAAGGAGGGTGATAAACTGTCCCCATCTCTTGGCACTGTTGTGATGATCAAGGAAGTGACTATGAATTACTTGGGACAGTGCTTTGTACATTAGTATACAATAAGCTTTTAATTCTTATTTTTAATTATAATTATTAGAGGTTCAAGCCTATAAAGTTATCAGAGACAGTCACATAATGTTTAAAAAGATTAAAGAAAGCAAATGAGTACATTCTTTGCTAGGTCTAATAAATTATATTAAAAGCAGCAGTGCTCAATCAGGTGACTTTTGCCACTACACATCCCCAAGGAACATTTAGCAACCTTTGGAGACATTTTTTGGCAACAACTACTATAATCTAATAGGTAAAAGGTAGGGATGGTGTTAACTATCCAACTATTTTCAAAACACCCCTTCCCCCTCCGCAACAAAGAATCATCTGAATCAAAATGTCAACAGTGCTAAGGTGAAGAAACTGCTTTAAAGAAATATTTACATCATCAGTTCCTAAGCTGCCAATTTGTCCCCAAGTAGGCAAAATATTGGGTTGCTATTATTTTTCTTTAAAAACAGGTAAACTTAGAGGCAATTATATTTGAGCAAAAGGGAAGAATCTGGAAATACATGTCATATACACTCAACATCATTTTATGTAAAGCATCTCTGCACCTATCTCTGTATTTTCTGATGCGAATCTGAAAATGCTGTATGCCCCCTGTCCCCATGATGGACTCTTTGAGACAAGAGTCAGAGCCTGAAGTGACCCATTCTCTACCTTTGAACTTCAGGTTGGTGGACTCAGACAGTCCACATCCCAGCAAAGTTGCTTAACCTTCTCAATCCAAACCTGAAGGAGTTCATCTGCAAAATTCCTTCTAGAAGGATAGGTACCCACTTCTCAGCTATATCGGAACCTTAGAGACACCTGTTGGTAGCAGTTCCTTCTATTTCAATTTTTGGAATGGTTTATTCCTTCATTTAAGAAACACTTTTTGAGTGCCTACTATGTGCCGGGCTCTCTTCTAGGGTAGGTCCCTACCCTCCCAAGCTCACAGTTTTGGAGGACATGTTGCAGTAGTGTGGGGGCAGTGGCCGAAACGGAGGGACTAGGAGGAAAGATCGGTGTTGGATGCAGTAAGCACAATAAAGAACAGGGTCCACCTAAGATGCCTGGGTGGGGGTGGGGACCCCATGGAAGGGAGCAGCTGGAGAAGGCTTACATAGCTTTGGCTGTGCCCCTCCTAAACAAACATGGAGGAGGGAACCAGTTTGTTAAAGCCACCAATCATTCAGTTTGCTCTGCTTTGTCTGAAAGTTCCATGCAGGGACAGGCCCCTGAAAAGAGCTCCGCCTTCCAGGAGGGCTGGAAAGGTACCCTCGCTTTGGACTTTTGGGTACCACAGGTGGTATGGCCACCTCCACATCAAGAATCTGTGAAGAATGGACATTTAAAACCCCAACTTTCATTTTAAGGATGTTTCATTTACTTTGTCTCCAGAGAAAAGGACAGGGAGCCCCGTCTAAAATCTGAGGGTGCCCTGGATTGTAAATATCCCCCCCTGCCTGTGGAGCGCTGGGCTTCATCAGGGCAGCCTTGGCTCCAGCTCCTCACCTGATGCCTTTGGCTTTGAGGACGAGCCGTGTCCTGTGCGAGTAGGGGCAGAACCTCATGCTGTAGACGCGGATTGTACCTTCAGGTACTGGCCCTGGGGGACAGCTTCCTGCAGGGCGGGGAGGGGCGGAGGACGCAGAGGCGGGTTAGCTCGGTGAGGAGAGGGGCTCACTCCCCTCCAAAGCTCTGCGCTCAGCCTCCCAAGTCCCACAGGGGACAGTTTCGCACGTGGCTTTGGTGCAGGGGAGCCCTCCAAGTTCCTCCTAGYTCCGCTGACCTACAGGTTAACGCCTGTCAGCCCTCTCCAGAGCCAGCAGCCCAGTCACCTGGCTCCCCCTGTCTGCGGGCCAGGGTCGATCCGGAGGACTCACCTTTCCCCAAGGACCTGGTCGTATCCACAGACATGGCGTCTAGGTGTCTGCCCCGCGCCCAGCGCTCACAGTCGCAACCAGGTGGCTCGCCGCCGCCGCCGCCGGCTCCAGGGACAGCTGCGCTCAGGAGCCCTCCTGCCCCAAATTCAATTTTTGAAAGGCTGGTCTCCGGCGGGTTAGAAGGGGCGGTGATCTGGGGCAAGAGCTAGGATAACTTAACCCAGGGAGACAGAACCCCAGATTCGGAAGCCCAGGAATAAGGACAAAAGCAATACCAAACCAAGCAAAACCCTGAAAAGTACCCACTTTGCTTTGAACRTTCGAGTGCCATCTTTGGTGGGGCCTCCTCCACGTCAAGAATCTGTGAAGGATGGACATTGAAGCCCCAACATGCATTGCAAGGGAGTTTGATAAAAAATCGACCAAAATAACACGTTTTTTTTCTTTTCCACCCTCAATCCTCCCTTCTTTACTTAAGACAATTGGTCACATCTTTGTATAGTGAGTACAGAGTGAGTATGGCTTTTTTTTTTTTTCCTTTAATAGGGCCAAACTTTTCCATGATACAGCAGATAGGAAGAAAAAGTTATATGTTCAGATCTTGCATCTCCTTGAGAGTAAGTGCCAGCTAAATTTTGCAAAACAYTTCACTTTGCCTGGCCCTAACTGTGAGATTTTACCCAAGTTCTGAAAACTAGCAGTTAATAAGATCAGGATACATAGAGGCAAAGAACAATTTGTGAGCTCTCCCCACTGCAACCCAAATTTCCAAGAAGACTCATTCTAGTGGTGAAGAACACATTACCCTCAGCCCAGCAGCACAAAGGTCACTTGCATAGCAACCAGTCACATGAGGTAGAAGAGGTAGCTGGCCTGGGCTTTGACACTGATAAGCTGAGATCCTGAATTTCAGGAGGTGGAAAAAGAATTTTTTTAATTTTCCATGACTGAATTGAAATGGAAATTGCCTGCAAATCCATTTTATGGGATTGACAGGTAATGAAGGAAAGAAAAGCATTGTGTCTTACGCAAAACTAATTATTTCCATGGACTATTTGTTTGCTTCCTAAAACTGCTCAGTCAGGCAACTAGTATTATTCCTATTTTACAAAAATAATAAATAGCCTCAGAAAAATAAAATTATTTGCCCAAAGTGACCAGCTAGTAGAGTTGAAGAAATTTAAAAATCCAAAGAATGACTCATTGTCTTGGCCCCTAAAATGGATAACAATGTAGAGGAAAGGGTATATGTTCAGGAAAAGATGTAACACATAATGGCTGTTATTTTAATCTAGCTATCTTATTAAATGAAATAACAGAACCTTATTAAGAGGTTTATGAATGGGCACTTTTTGGCCTTTGGAATTCTAATCTATTCCGAACTTCTTATTTAATAGTGCAAACATTTTTTGTACAAAATAAAAATCTTCAGAATAGTGACTCAATCACATTTTTAACTGTCATTCCGCAATTATGAAATAAGCTTAGATAACAATGTGGCTTTATAAGAATTTGGGAATATCGAAAATGTTTGGATAAATGCATAGATACTTAGAAATGCATAAATGTCAAAAATCTGGTGTTGAAAAAGACAAATTGGTTCTTGACTTGCTATTTGACAAATTTTCATTTTGGAAGATAAAGTTATATAGCTAATTTCTATCAAAAAGGATAAATTGGATGGTAAAACAGAAATAGGAAATAACCATATCATGTCAGAGCTCCTGGTAGATAAAGAGTCAGATAAATGTGTCCCTTGCATATTTCAAATAGATGAGAGAAGTATACCCAGAAGAAGAACAACATTTCCCATCCCTCTCTTTACTCACCTACCTACACCAAATTAGACCTAACTTCCCACATACAGGTATACTTTTAATAAACAACATTTTCCAATGGAAGGCCCTAGGAGGAAAGTGGAACCTCAAAATAAAAATAAATTATTGGTAACATGTATTTGGTGCTTTATGTGTATTAATCCACTTAACCCTTAAATGGTCCTAAAAGTATTAGTTCATTTTAAAGGATGAAAAAACTGATGCTAACAAAGTTATAAACTTGGCAAAAGCTTCATAACTATTAAGTAGAAATGGAAGGATTAAAGCAACACTCTCAACCAGTAGCTTAATATATTCTAGATATGATGGACTGAATGGCTAGAAAACATTCTTCCCTAGATAAATATTTTAGGCTTTTGGGTCCTTCTGTTCTCAACTACTTTACTCTTGTAGGGTAAAAACAGCCATAAATGATATATAAATGAATGAGGATGGCTGTTTTCCAATGCAACTTTATGGACACTGAATTTCAATTTCGTTCATATTTTTAATAGCATTTATTTTCAGAGAAGTTTTAGGTTCACAGCAAAGCAGAGGGGTTATAAAGATTTTCATATATCCCCTACCCCACACATGCAAGCTTCCCAGACTGCCAACATCCCAACCAGAGTGGTACATTTGTTACAAYTCATGAATACATACTGACAAATTATCATTAAAGGTCCTTGTATATGTACATTAGTTGTTCACTATTGATGAATTTCAAGTCATAAGTTATCATTTGTATTTTAATGTTTTAAAATGTAAAAAAACACTCTTAGCCCTTTGGGCTGTAAAAAAAACCCAACCAAACAAAAACAACAAAAAAAACCAAAACAGTTGGCTGGATCTAGCTCAATGGCCTTAACTTGGACATCTGTGGTCTATAGCACAATGATTGGATTAGCAATGGAGAAATTAACTGATTAATTAATTTGTAAATTAAAATGTTCTATGTCAGAGGATGTAGTTCCAAGTTCTTTCTCTTCGTTCCCTCTTTAAAGAAAATAAAATCCTTTAGAAGAACATTTAGATAATGTTGCTTATTATAAGTGTACCTGTATGTGGGAAGTTAGGTCTACTTAGTGTAGGTAGGTGAGTAAAGAGAAGGATGGGAAATGTTCTTCTTCTTCAGATAGGAAGCAATACTGTTAGAGTTCTCAAAATGTGGAGCCAGAAAGGCAGACTGTGAGAACTGGCTTTGGCATTCAAACCAGCTATGGAAGTTCTCTGACTTTCCCCTGTACAGTGAGAACATTAAAAATATCTACTAGATGGATTCATTGTGAGTGTGGACTGCGATCATACAGGCATCATCAATATAGTAAGAGCTTAGTGCACCTCAAAATTAATTAAATACTAGTGACGAGGAACACATTTTCAATAGTATAGTACATTCTAGCTTTGTATCCCTATAGATGAGATATACTGTTATTCAGTTTTGCTAAGCATATTAGAATTAAAATTCAACTCACAATATTTGTTTCACCAGTTACCAGTTTAATGGCAATTGAGTAGGTTAAATGCTGCAGGCTACATTTCAGTAATGTGGTTTTTGATCTTACCACTGAACACTATCGTTTCCCTAGAAAGATTTTAATTATGACCTTTAAGCTTACTTCTTTTTTAAAGATCCAGTAGGTACCTCTTTGGAATCCTCTTTGCAAACTTTCCTTCTATATTATTTCATATTTATACTTCTATTATACCAATCCATTCAAGCATGAGACAAACTGTAATGAGGCCATCTTAAACCTGCTCCAAATCGGTTTCCAGCCACTTCAAATATAACTAAATCTGTTTTGAAAATGTAGGGATCTTTAATCATGGCTGATTAATGACTTAGTCTTTTAGGAGAAGAATGCCACCACAAAAATAATTTCTTCAATTGTTTACATGAGTTTACCTTGAGAAAAAGTAGAGTTCGTATTTTACAATTTTTCAAAAATTTTTGTCATGCCCACCACTGAGAGAAGAAACTAGAGGATTTTCCTTTTTAATATTTCAGAAGAGGGGTTGGAATTGTGGCTCAGTGGTATAGTGCTCCTAGCATGTGAGGCACTGGGTTCGATTCTCAGCATCACATAAACATAAATAAAATAAAGGTTCTGTATCCATCTCTGATGAAACATTGGTGAAGGTTAAATAATTGGGCTTTAACTAAAACTGTTAAAATGCAAAATTTTTAAAAAGTTCGCGATGCTATTAAAGAAATTTTTAAAAAATATTTCAGAAGTGCTCCTCACATGTAAGATTATAATACTGGGTATTCAGTTATTGTTCATGGAGTTCATAGAGCAAGATAAACTAGGAAACAGGTTCTACCCTCAAATATGTCTATAGTCATCATTTGTTTCCAGGAAGTGAGGGTCATAGGGAATTCTGTGCTTTAATGAATTTGTTTGGGGACATATTCAATAAGATCACTAAAATTATTAGAGGAAGAACGTCATCTTCCCACTTGGGCAAGTAGAGTCAAAGGAGACTTGTCTTTTAAGTGTTTAAATATATTTTCCTATACCTATGTCTCTTTAAAACTTGAGGCATCAAAGAAAAAAACTTAACATATAACATTCAAATAAGCTAAAGCAAAATTCAAGATTCTAACATGAGCAAGTCAAATATTTGTAAAAATCAAACAAAACACATTGAGTTTGGAAAAGAAATATCAATATCTCCTATTAAATTTCAGGCACAATAATGATGTGGCAAAAAAAGTGATATAGTCATCCCTACATATTCACACAGATTTGGCCAAGGACTCTCTTGGATACCCAAATCCACAGCTGTTCAAGATTCTTAAATAATAAAATGGCATATTATTTTCACATAATCTTGCATATCCTCCTATATAAATTAAATCATTTTTAGTTAAAATACCTAATACAATGCAAATGATATGTAAATAGTCGTTCTACTGAATTGCTTTGGAAATAATTATAAAAAGTCTGTCATATTCAGTACAGATTGAGGTCTTTCCCCGCCCCCCCAAATATTTTCTATCCAACGTTGGTTGATTCTGCAGATGTGGGGCTCCTGGATAAGGAGGGCTGACTGTGCTATCATCTCCTGACTCRACCTCCAAATGCTAAGTTGTTGAATAAAAAGAGTCTAGGGGCAGAGACATATGTAATCTGTTACATTAACAACAGTAGTACTGACTCTAAAGAGTACTGACTGAATTTGAATCTCCTCTTCAGCATTTAATAGCTGGGTGACC